AGGACGGGGAACTCCATATCACCCAAAACTTACCGGCCGATTTTTATTTTACAAAGATCGGAACATTCACCTCAGAAAGAACTAGCGTCTGTCGAAAAGTCCTGACGCCTCAAGGTCACCCTTCAAAGTCAGACGCAGGCTCGAAGGACGGGGAACTCCATATCACCCAAAAATTACCGCCGGTTTTTAACTAACAAGTACAAAAACATTTACCACAGAAAGAGCTAAAGTCGGTCAAAAAGTCTTGACCTCTCAAGCTTGCCTTTCAAGGTCAAATGCGGGCTCAAAGGAAGGAGAACTGCATATCACCCAAACATTACCGGCCGATTCTTAGCTAACAAACATCAGAACATTCACCACAGAAAGAACTATCGTCTGTCAAAAAGCACTGACATCTCAAGGTCACCCTTCAAGGTCAAACGTGGGTTCAAAAGAATGAATGTTCTACTGTTTGTTAGTTAAAAATCGGCCAGTGATTTTTGGGTGATATGGAGTTCCCCGTTCTTTGAGCCCGCGTTTGGCTTTGAATGGTGGCCTTGAGAGGTCAGGACCTTTTAACGGAAGCTAGCTCTTTCTGTAGTGAATGTTCTGATCTTTGTGAAATAAAAATCGGCCGGTAATTTTTGGGAGATATGGAGTTCCCCGTCCTTTGAGCCCGCGTTTTACCTTGAAGCGTGACCTTGAGAGGTCAGGACTTTTGGATGGACGCTAGTTCTCTCCGCGCTGGGTATTCTGACATTTGCAAGTTGAAAATCGACCGACAATTTTTGGGTGATATGGAGTTCTCCGTCCTTTGAACCAGATTTTTACCTGAAAGGTCACATGATATTGCAAAATCAGGGTCATTTTTGGTGTTCTCATGCCACAATTGACCTTGAAACCATTTTCCAGGGAAATCGGAACTCGTCGCTGTAAAAATCACTGAATAAATTGCTAACTTCACGGACATCTTCCCCCTGAGATCTCCAACTTCCAGAAGCCGCATGAGAAAGACCGAGATGCTGTTCTGGAGGTCTCGTCAAAACACGAAAAATTCAAACCAACGTTTTGACCCCAGGTCAAATGTGAGGTCACCGAAGGCCATGATATGCAAAATCTTTCGTTCCAGTGGAAGAAGCTGAAACTTGTGTCAACGCGCCGAAGCGGATATGGCAGGCAGGGCAATATGCATTAAGACTGTGGGGAGTCCATTCCGACCCTTTTCGTTCCCCCGCATGGATCAGGTCAGATCAGCTACCGTTCAAAGTTGTTGTACCAGTGACCTACAATAACGATATTTTCTTCAAAATATGCTTCTCTCCAAGTTTGTTTTATAAGATGCAGCTGTGGAATAAAAACATTTCAAACACAAAAATACCATTCCAGGGCGACCTAGAGTTTATCTGAGGTCAACTTAGGTCAAAGCTGTAAGCCACTCAAACGAAAAAATGGGATTCTAACCGGGTGTGTACAATTACGTCTGACGGGACACTACGTCTGACGGGCCAGGCTCCGTAGAGTGCGTAAACTGTCCCTTGGTGCTGACGCCTCCAATGAAAAATAAGGTAGCCAAAGTCAGTATGGATGAATAGACACACACAAGACTTCTAGCAAGGGGAAACCGAGGCCCACCAACTTAGAGAAGAAAGTGGGCCAAATTTGAAGAAATGCCTTTTAATTTGGGCTAGGGTTAGTGTTTTTTTGTTTTTTGTTCAGCCATTCCTTCCAATACATTTCTTTAGCACCGGCACATTTGACATGGCCTTTGATGCGTACAACTTATTCTGGGCCTTCACGTAATTTCGGAATCGTTATATTGAGATATTCATTACATCCCAAATTTTTATACTTCGTTTTTTACCGGCGCAACTTTTTGCGATACTGCATTCCTAATTACTGGTCATGTAGTTCCGTAGCTCCTCATGCTAATGGAATCCAGGCACACACCAAAGGCGATATTGAATATAAACTCAAAGCCCTCGCAGCTGTGAGCCAAATATTCTACCAGTCTACAACGATGTTTTCGTCTACAAGTGATCATGGCTTCTTGAGACATATTTGGCCGCAACTTTATTTCTCCATGGTACGGCACTGGAATCTAACAAACCGCTGACCGCCACATTTTCATCGAATCAGCAGAGCTTGAGTTGCTACCTGAGTGGGAGGAGGGTCCATACTTTTGGCGCACGCAACCGTAATCCATCAGCTGACGTCAGATCCCTGAAAGCTTGACACGCAAACCTTGGGAATGTTCACTTGTGCAAAAGCCGTTTGCGTGTGATGAAGATAAAGCGTGATGTATGTCTGAGGTTGCGCATACCGACCAAAAGGTATTGACGTTTGTATATTTCCTAGGACGAGCAAAATGTCCTTCTCCCTAAGGGAGGTGTTAATCCAAACGAATCTCGATCGCCTGAGCTCTCGCTTCTTTTGAGCCTTCTCTCCGACCGTGACGTTATGAACAAAACGACTGCCGCACTGGCAGTAACGCATTATGGTAAAAGTCTATTATTGGTAAAGCACCGCCGGTAGATTATCGTTACTCATGACAGAACGATGGGCCCATACTACGCGAAAATATTTGGGGATATTTTCAAAACGCTTGGAGAAAGCTCAGAGGAAGAACGATGCCAATTGAATGAGTACATTGCGCTCCAAATTTCCACATAATGAAGTCAAAAATGATTTTTCCGTAGGCCAAATCGACCCATTGCACTGCTCGCATTCGGCAGTTTAACTCATTACCTGACACATCGTGAAGGGACGTGCCCCAATGGAGTACTAAAAAACATACCATAGTGCATGCCTCACAATAGTACATTCTGGGTAAGTGTAGGTAATGCGATTCCTCCTGTAGCTGCAAAGCAAGTATTGGACATTAAGACTTATCAAAATATCCTCTGCGTTTATTCCTTGGGGAGTTCCTTCTTTATGTGCGTGCGTTTTCTAAACCCATCGCTCCCACGGGGGTTGAGAAGGAATTGGCAGTCTTTGCAGCCTGCTGACATGCTTATTAAAACAGTGCGAATGTGTACCGCTGTCGCATCCAATATGCCCACTGTAACCACGCATTCTGGAACACCTTGTGACTCAAGCGTATTCTGGAGACGTCAGCCCTTTGTCGGCCTAATGCTGCGGCCCGGCTGATTGTCAGCGTTAGCACGTCTGACCGCCTGTTGTAAGAGTGCCATCACGCGTGTCCGCCTATTGTGAGCCAGGACGTCAGGCCGCCTGTTGTAAGAGCGCCAAAATGTCAGGCCGCCTATTGTAAGAGCGCCAGCACGTCTGGCCGCCTGCTGTAAAAGCGACAGTACGTCAGGCCCCCTGTCGTAAACCAGCACATATGGCCGCCTGTTGTAAGAGTGCCGGCACATCTGGCCGCCGAGTGTAAGATCGCCAGCACGTCTGGCCGCCTGCTGTAAGAGCGACAGTACGTCAGGCCCCCTGTCGTAAACCAGCACATCAGGCCGCCTGTTGTAAGAGTGCCGGCACATCTGGCCGCCGAGTGTAAGATCGCCAGCACGTCAGGCCGCCTGTTGTATTAGCGCCAGCACGTCAGGCCTTCTATTGTCGGAGCTCCAGCATGTCAGGCCGACTGTTGTCAGAGCGCCACCACGTCTGGCCGCCTATTGTAAGAGCGCCACCACTTCTGACCGCTTGTTGTAAGAGCGCCAGCACGTCTGGCCGCCTATTGTAAGCCAGTACATCTGGCCGCCTGTTGTAAGTCAGTACATCTGGCCGCCTGTTGTAAGAGCGCCAGCACGTCAGGCCGCCTGTTGTAAGGGCGCCAGCACGTCTGCCCGCCTATTGTAAGAGCGACAGAACGTGTGGCCGCCTATTGTAAGAGCACCAGCACGCCAGGCCGCCTGTTGTAAGAGCACCAGCACGTCAGGCCGCCTGTTGTAAGAACACCAGCACGTCAGGCCGCCCGTCGTAAGAGCACCAGCACGTCAGGCCGCTCGTTGTAAGAGCACCAGCACGTCAGGCCGCCCGTTGTAAGAGCACCAGCACATCAGGCCGCCCGTTGTAAGAGCACCAGCACGTCATGCCGCCCGTTGTAAGAGCACCAGCACGTCATGCCGCCCGTTGTAAGAGCACCAGCACGTCAGGCCGCCCGTTGTAAGAGCACCAGCCTGTTGTAAGTCAATTATCTGTGAGGTATGTGCCGTAGTCTGTGATTATGTGGATAACAGCGGATTGGCCCACTTCTTGTCTTTCCTTTATTTCAGAAATCAGAAATGACTGTTTTCAGGCGTAGAAGACCCAACCGAAACGCAAAGTAGGTGTCATACCAGGGCTGTCGATGATAAATGTCACCAAACCTTTTTCGGCTGTAGTCCATAACAGAACTGTGCACTTTCTGTTCTGCCGACTTTTTCGCTCCCGCTGTGCTTTTTTAAACAATGTATGAATAGTTAAGTCCACACCTTCCTCAATGTTAACATGAACGGAGCATTGCCCTAACTCGCAAGAGGCTGGAGACTCAGAGCAAAGCGTTAATTGCATGCCGCATGATTTCGCGTTTGTCAGATGTATGTACAATCATTCAACTGACTTTTGTGAATTCTTGAGAGCCTCCCTTCGGCTGGCCCTACCCGGATGTCACGTGCTCGCGCATTGTGTCATGCTCCACATGATCGAGCGAATGCTGTACGATTTGGTTCTGTTGGTTGACCCTGAAACTAGACAATGGTTTTCTGGGAGAGAACCGAGGGGCAGATATCTTGAGTCTTGGTGATCAATACCTACCACAAAACATGTCACCAAGTACGCCAACACGTAACTTTACGGAGCAGAATCGTGGCTATCACTAGTTTTTCTAGGACTTACTTTTCGGCTGTTCACTACCGCTGTTTCTATCGATTGCATTTTATTGTGACATTAATGTCATTGCAGGCATTACCATTTTCGCGTTTTGAGCATTGCCTGGTCAGGCTTATGATGTTTGATTTGTTCACGACGTGGTCTGCCATTGTGCCAGCATCCGTCGATGACCGTGCAACGAACAGAAATAAGCTATCTCAAGTATAAGGGCGTCGCAGAAGCTGTGCTTTATTATCAGCAGTGGGGCACGCAACACAGGAAGAAGATCTACCATGTTCAATGCAAGCCACTGCTTATCGCAAACGTCAGCGGCATAGAGCGTTAAAGAACGGCACACTTTCTCACACGGAAAAAGCCTTTGATTTGCGATATCTGTTTACGAGCAGTAGGTGCCGTCGGCGGTGTTGGCCTGGATCCAGGACAGCACCTCGGTGACTCGGGCGTACACGCCCGGGTAGCCGGGCAGAGCACAGCCCCGACCCCACGAGACGACGCCGATGAGGGAGTAGCGGTCGGACTCGAGGGTGACCATCGGGCCACCGCTGTCGCCCTGGCACGAGTCCTTGCCGCCCTCACTGAGACCGGCACAGATCATGGACGGGTTGATGCTGCTGTATGACGACCTGCAGACGGTGTTGGAGATGACGGGCACGGTGACCTCCCTCAGAGTGGTGGCCTGTGAGCCGCCCGAGCTGGTGGTACCCCAGCCGGTGACGATTGCGTCGGCGCCGACAAAGTCGTTACCGGCGGTGGGCAGACAGGCCGGCGCCAGGGTGTTGTCGCTTGGGAAAGTAATGGGGTTGGTCAGCTTTAGCAGCGAGAAGTCGTAACCGGAGCTGGACGCGGACGAGTAGCTCGGGTGGTTGATGATCTGCTGCACACTGGCGCGAATCTCGCCGTCGCTGTTGCTGATGCGGTGCTCCTTGAGCAGGACCTCGATCTGACTGGGTGATGATCCGACCGTACAGTGAGCCGCCGTCATCACGTACCGGTTGTTGATGACGGTGCCACCGCACCAGGTGCGGGTGCCGCCGGCGCTGACCAGGCCCGCCTGCCACGGATACTCATTCACCTCGGTCTCCACGCCGCCGACGATGCGGGAGGAGCGGTTCGGAATTCCGCAGCAACAAGAGCCTGACGGTGCAGCCGTAGTGGTCACCTGAGTTTCGGTCACCTCCAACTGACAGAGGAAGCCGCTCCTAACCACCGAGTAGTCCGAGTGCCACTGGACGGCCATCGTCGACACCGAGGTTACGGCGCTGGGGCCCGCCGTGCCACAAAACTTCTGACCGTTCACGGACAACCAGTCCCAGGAGCACCGGGAATGCCTCTCCACGTTAAACGCTGAGCAGGAGATGGAAATGGTATCGCCCGTGTTCTCTGCTGTCAGCTGGTAGTCACAGTCCTCGTTGTTGACGTAGTTTGCCGGGTGGTTGGTCGACTTGATGGTGTAGGTGCTGCCTCTCGCCAGGGTGGCAGCTCCGCAACTAAGCTCTGAGCCCCCGCCGCCCCCGCCGCCCCCGCCGCCCCCGCCAACCGTCAGCGAGCAGCGGTACCCGGTACGAACAACGCTGTAGTCGGCGTGGAACTGGATAGCGAAACTTGAGCTGGAGGAAGCGGGCGGACCCGCCGTACCGCAGTACTTCTGACCGTCCACGGAGAGCCAGTCCCAATTGCAGCGCGAGTTCCGCTCAAGATCGAAGGCGGAACACTCGAAGTCTATGCTGCCGCCGTCAGCCGCCGTGACGGTGTAGTCGCAGTCAAAGTTGTTGCCGTAGTTACCCGGGTGGCCGGGAGACTGGATAACGTACGTGCCCTCCGCGAGCGAGTGAGTTCCACAGGCCAGCGTGTCCCCCGAGACGGCATCGCCGACAGTCACGATACACCTGTACCCTGTCCTTACGACGCTGTAGTCGGTGTGGAAGGCGATCGCCAGCGAGGAGCCCGAGACGCCAGCGGGTCCCGAGGTGCCGCAGTACTTTTGGCCGCCTACGGCCAGCCAGTCCCACCTGCATCTGCTGTGCTGTTCCAGGTTGAACGCCTCACAGGCCAGGGTCAGCTGGGCGCCGGACTCACCGCTCAGGTCATACTCGCAGTCGAAGTTGTTGCCGTAGTTGGACGGGTGGTTCGGGGATTCGATAGCGTAGGAGCCCACAGCGAGCACGTGAGTGCCGCAGCCGATGTCGGCAGCGCGCGGGCTGATGGGCGGCAGCGAGTCATCTCGCTCAGATGGTGGCGGCTTCCACTCATCCCGCTCCGAGGGCGGCGGTCTCGGTACCGCCTGGGCACCCACCAGGAGTGCGAGCAGGAAGATGCCGGTCTTCATGGTCGTCAGAGTCTGCCACGAAATGGCTGTCCCAAGCTTTTATACCACAAAATGTGCTGAAGTAATGAAAACTGGCGACCGCCTTGGACACACTTGGACCACTTGTGCGATGCATCATCCAAAGTTCCTTTCTGCTTTACATCTGACAAACACATTTTGATGTCACTCAAACCAGCCTCGTCACTCAGAAGGCTGTGCCGATGATAAGGCAAAACGCTTGAGTAAGCCGAGAGGGTCTGGTAATGCTGGATCGATAAAGAACGCAGTACATATTCGATGACGAAGGCAAAATCATACAGAATGGTACCAGGCCTACGCGCACGGGAAGCTTTCCGTCCTTCGCAATACAGATACAGCAGGACAACTGGGTTGTCTTGTAGACCTGAAAGACGCTAGGTATTTGAATAACCGCTTGTTTGATAGGACTGGTGATTCTGATTAGACGTTTAGTTCAAGCAGCTATCACCCGTTTTACAAACGCGTACCACGTGAACTGCTTTAAACCGTTTGCAATGTCTCTAGAGATTACATAGTAATGTTTCGAGATTACGTAGACGACAGACGATAGGGCCTCGGTTATACCTGTGTTCACAGAAGTTTACTGCGTGAAGCGTTTTAACCTTATCATTACGTGCAATGGAAGCAGATTCTGCCGCACCTCATCTTTTGAGACGATTTTCACAGCTCCTTGAAACTTGACGAGATTTGCTCTGCATGCCCCCGTATGTTGTGCCAAGGTTTTAAAGAGAACTTCGATCGGGAGGATTTCCATGGGTAAATATCGACAAGTAACTGTGCGGACATTTGCCGTCTTCCGCTCACTGCCCGTGCCTGCCCGATTATAGCTATTCCTTTGTCTGTTCAGGGGTTATTGATGGTTCAGTAAGTTGGGTTCAAGTGCGTGCCAACTGCAGTGGTCATTTGTGCGTTGGGGTTCAATCAAATTGGATGCACATGTGTGCGAAACGCTTTGTTATTATTTTTAACGCCAAATGTCTGTGGAGTGCACAACATGGTCGCCATCATTCGACAGAAACAGCTCTGGTGCAGATCAATTATCAAGTCTTCCGTGTCCTGGACGATAATGAAATATGAGTTTTAGTACCACTTGACTTCAGGAAATGCTTAGATGGCTTAAGCAATACCAAATTAGCCCGGAAGTTAAAAAAGAAATAAAAAAGTAAAAAAGAAATAGCTTTATTACCCCATATTTTCAACAAGATAGTAAAAAAGGTGATCCAATTTAGTCGCCGTGAAGCGTACAGCAGCGGGTCTCCGTTGGGCTGTGAAAACTGGCGGTAAGACGTCATTATTGCTGACGACAAAGCTGCGTCATACGAATGATTGGGGAGCAATCGCGCCCATGACTGTTGCACCGAGTCACGTGGAAATGGACAGGAGCGCAGCCAGGGTTTCTTTCAGTGGGGGGGGGGGGGGGCATCTTGTTCGGCAAAAAAGCACCATCCTGACTTTTTAGCTGTCTGTCAGCGGCCATCTAACGTGAAAATAAAAGATTTCGGGCTCGGGGAAAATACCCCGCTCTCTTGGCCCCTCCCGCACTCCTTTCTCACCATAACCAATAACATATTATATTCAGCTCAACATACCTAATTTTTGCGTGAATTCGGAAGAATTGAAAAGGTGACCATTCCGTTTAAGAGCTACCTTTCTGATAATTTCCAGCATACACGCCTGAATTTTCCACAGCACACCATGATCAACTCCACCCCAAACCGAAATGCAACTGGAAGATATCAGTGTACGTCACTGAGGCCACTGATGTTTACCACTTTCTCAGTACAACCAAAGTTGTTTAAGACAAATTATGTCACCATTGTGCAACATGCCGATCATGCTCATCTTATCGTTACAGGTAAAAGGTACGACCTTTCTGTACACATTAAAAAACAAACATTAAAAACCCAGTCAACGTCTGTTCACGGGTCATTCCAGGACGGCGAAAACACGACCACGTAAGCAATGCGCTCCGCATGCCCAGGTCTGTCACCGTGGGACGCGTCACACACTTTGCCTATTGGAACGAACTTTGAGAACCGGGGAGCCGAGATCGAGATCGAGAGTGCCACAGCGAGTCAGCATACAGGGCAACCGGCATCGGCGCAGGGGCCTGGACAGTATAATCAACTCCGTCGAAAGCGCTTCCAACCACGGCCCTTTCAATCCGTCACCCGTCGCTGTCTTTTCTGCTCATGGGCCTCGCACTCTGCGTCTGCGTTTTGCTGTTCGGTCAGAAGCCGAGACGTCACAATGTTTGCGCCCTGAGCTTGCCGACCGGTCGGATATGGCTCTCCCTGCGGAGTCTACGGCATCGGGGGGGGGGGGGGGGATGTGTGGCCAGTGGGGGGTAATTTGGCCGAGGGCGCGGGTATTTTCCCGCACCTAACATGTTCAAAAGTACCCGCAACTGACTGAATGCAACAAACGAAACATTTGTATTATTTGTTTAAGTGAAGGATTTTCCGTGAAAGCTGCATAACGTAAAATGTGAATAACTGTTTTCTAATCTGTAGGAATATATGATAAACATGTCGATTCAAGCAGGGGAGGATCCAGGATTTTGTCAGGGGGAAGCACGCAACATTATGAACCGCCATAAAGTTACGGACCCCCCAAAAATAAAATATCCATGAAGCCCAACCACCAAATTTACAAATTGATAGTACGCTATTTTTACACGGAAACCCATCTTACTGTGCACATCCCCTAGAAAACTAGGCGTACTACGCGTTCACACACATGGAGGCTGTTCATTTTCTCCAGATAATGGTTAATCCTGTCAAGTTGAGGCTTATTTTTTTCGGAAAAATGGTGAAATAAGCTAAAATTGGCTGCTGAACATCATCAAAATGAGCCACGAACTTGATTCTAAGCATATTTACAGCTGGCAGGCTGGTCGATGTGATCAGCTGAGGGCTGATGACTAATGTGGAGTTTTTGCTTTGTTATGAAGGAGTACAAAATATCCTAGCAATAAAATGTTACATGCCTCCGTCAATTGGTATGCGGTCCTCAAGGCATGCGAGAAGAACCAAGACCAACGGGATAGGCCCCTGAACGATCGGAAGTACCCCGGCAGGCTGACATATAGAGCCCTGGCCAGAGCATAGGGCCCTTTGAGCAAGGAACCAGTGTGTGTGTGCGTACCCAAGACCAGGTGCGCCGATGAATGCCCTGTGCGATCAAGAATGCCCGGGGAGTTTACCGGAAAGGACCACGATGTGTGTGAAAGGTTCTCCGCAAACGAGATTAAAGGGAAAGAGCCCTAGATCATCGATGTAGAGGGCCCCTGGACATGGAGTGGCCCAGTGCCCTACCTTACATTGACACCTGAAACGTAACAAGGCACTCAGAGCAAGTGGAAAGAACTCGAAACCAATAAGAAGGGCCCCTGAGTAACAAAGTGTACCCCGGCATATGGGGCCCCAACAAGAGCGTATAGAGCCTTTCGGGCAAATGGGAAGAATGTGCGGAGGGCCCAGATGGATCAAGAGTCCCAGGCACAATGGCACATAGTGCCTCAACAGCAGCGTAGGGCCCCTTCGAGAAAATGCCAAGAGATCAAGGGCAACGTGGAAGGCTCCTTAGCGATCGGATTGACCAGGCAAGTGGACATATGGGGCCCGAGCGACAGCGTAACGCCCCTGGACAGCGCAATGAGTTTCCCTGCTCACGGGCTTCACTTTCGCTTGTGACTGCTCTTGGTGGTCTGGAGGGCCGAGAGGCCCAATTTTGTTGTTTTGTGTTTGATAACTGCGTCCGTTCGCCTGGTCATGAGCCTCTTTAGAGCCTATGGGTCCCCTCGGCGCACAAGGGGGAGCACGGTTCCATGCCTCCCCTCCCCCCTGAATCCGTTATTGGCCCGAGCAGTTTGATAAATGGGGTCCCGATAAGAACATAGGGCCATCCATTCAAATAACAAGCACCCAAGACACAATATGGAGGACCACCAAAACATCGAGTGTGCCCAAACAGGCCACCAGAGGGCCCCGTCACGAACGCAGGGCCCTACAATGGCACACCAAAACACAACGTGCAGGGCCTCCGAACCGGTCTAGTATTCAGAGCCTTCCATTCAAATAGGAAGTTCCCAAGATCCATTTAGGGGCCCCCGAACGCCCGAGTGAGCCCAATTGGGCAAACAGATGGCCCCAGACAAGAGCATAGGCCCTGAAGCAAGTGATAGAAAACTGGAAGCGCCCTAGACCAACATGAAGGGTCCACGAGCACATCGTGAGTGGCCAACGTTAGGCTAACGTTACCAACGTTAATCTACTGGCCAACGTTAGGCCAATTGTGAACAACGTGAATGCAGCCGGGCAGCCGAGAATACCCCGGCATGCCATCATGCGCGGTCCCCATCTCAAGTGTATAGCGCGTTTCGGTCGGATGGAAAACATCCGTAGAAGGCCCCTGATTGACAAAAGTGCCCGGCACGCTAGCAGGAAGGGCCCCAGCAACAGTGCAGGGCCCTTCGAGTATATGCAAAGAAATAAAGGGCAATGTAGAAGGCTCTTCAACAATCAGGTTGACCTCAGAAGCAGACACATAGGGCCCACGGAAACAAAGTAGTTCCTCTGTATAGCGTAAGCAGTCTTAAAATCTCCCAATCGCCACTCTCTCAATTAATGAATAATCATTTTTGTCTTTTCGTGGGCCCTTCACTTTCGCTTGCGACTGTTATTGGTCACCCTAAAGCCCAAAGACGTCCAATTTTGTTGCGTTCTGTGTAAAAACTGCTTCTTTTCAGCCGGATATGGGTCTTCTCAGAGCCCACTCCGTGACCTTCCCTCTTGATCCGCCCCTGAATTCAAGACACTGAAGTGTGACCAACAAAGATGCAGGATGTTGCGATGTCATGACAGTCTGACAGGGCTAACCATGCGAGCCCACACCGCAAGTCACTTAGGTGGGCAGATCATGCGGTATGTGATCACGTTATCTCTAAAGCGCGGATCAAGTAGCGAAGTGTGTCGTGTTTTCAGCGATTTCATAAAATAAGG